TTGTCTGTACTCTTCATTTGGCAAAGGGGGAGACAGAGAAGTGGCATGGCCCACCTATGGTCCCATAGACAGTAAGTTGCAAAGTCATGATTTAAACCCAGGTCATCTGAATCCAAATCCAGATCCTGTCTACCTGTCCCTTGCCATATGCTGAGGATGAGGAGCACTTGGTACCCATTTGCCTCATTGGTCCCTCTAGTGTCACTTACCTCTTTACCCAGCCTTGACTCCAAACTACTTTACGTTTTCAGTAATTCAGTCTAGAATTCTTTGTCCCCCCCGCCATCCAGTTTCTGAACCTGTATATCCTTGTCTCTGAGATGTATTTAATTATGTATTATTATGTATCTAATCAAGGCATATTGGATCAAAATGGGTCAAATCAAGCCTTTTACAAATCACTACCAGGTCCCAAGTCTGCTCACTGCTGCTCAGCAATCCTTATACTGCCCTCCCACAGGAAGTATGAAAAACCTCCTCCTTCCCCTCACCTGCTACCCCTTCCTCAGGATTAAAACCATCCATCAGCCATGAAGTCAGCATCATAACCCCCTCTCCCTGTCTTTCCCCTTATAAAGGTGGGGGTCACTTGAATCAAGCAAATCAAATCAAATCATCTAAATACTGAATCAATTGATCAAAGGTATTAATTTGGTCTTTAATCTATTTGGAAGAAATGAAAGGGGCACCTAGGTGGTGCAGTGGATAGAGCGCCCGCCCTGAAGTCAGGAGGACTCGAGTTCAAATCCGGCTTCAGACCAAACATTAACACTTACTAGCTGTGTGACCCTGGGCAAGTCACTTAACCCCAACTGCCAAAAAAACCCCCAAGCTGTTGGATGAAATTAAATAAACCGAAGCAAGAAGTGCAATGGGATTGGTTGAGGTGACTCAGTCACACCTAGTGGGGTTCATTTGGAATTCAGATATGTGGGCAGAAGGAGTTCTGGCCAAGCTCTTGAGAGGGAATTGCTTGAGGAGAACTATATATGCTCTCTAAGCTTGATCCTGCCTTCCCCTGGACTCTGCGTGGGAGAGTGCGTAACATTTTATACCTGCTGTTGTTACTATATCACCATAGTAAGTACATGTTTCTATATACTAATGAAGTCTGGCTAATTGCTACCAAGTGCTAATGCATCGGGGAAGCACACCCGTGGGGGCTCGTGAGCTATAGAAAAACCATTCCCTCAGGCCTCGGGTTTACCCCTAGAACCCTAAGGGTGACAAATAGTAGTCACCTTCTAGAGTCCTCATCCAGTCAGGGTGCTAGGGGATTGGAAGAAGGAGATCAGAGTCTGTGCTGTGCCCTGAACACCAGAGATTCCTCTGCTTCAAAATTTTATGTTTTTCCTGGGATTCCAAATGACCCCAATGCCATCTTCTCCCCTTTCTCCACCAGATCCCTGCTCAGGCATCAGGCCCTCAATCTCTGGCAGCTTCAGCTCGGCCCCATCCCTCCCCCTGGGCCACTCCTGGTTCACCTCTCTCCTCCCCTTCACTGCTACACTCTGAACCCGTGGTCTCCATCTACTCCAGATGCCCAGTCTTCTACCTCCTGGAGCAGGGCTTCTTATCAGGTGCCTGGGCTGTCCCTGGTCCTGTGCTGAGCACCAGAGAACCCCACTCCCCTGCCCTCCAGGAGCTTCCAGTCAACTAGGGGAGCCTATGCAAAAATAAAAAGTACTTGCAGAGTAAAAGAAGAGAATAAGCACCTACTATGGGCCAAACACTTTACAAATATCTCATTCAATCCTCACAACGACCCTGGGAGGGAGGTGCTATTATTATGTCCATTTTACAGTTGAGGAAACTGAGGCAAATAGAGGTGAAGTAACTTGCTTGGGGTCACAGTAAATAAGTATCTGAGGCTGGATTTGAACTCTGGTCTTCCTGTCTCCAAGTCCAGTGATCAGCCATCATGCCACCAGATGCCTCCAATAAATACAAATCCATATATGGCTCTAGAATAAATGCAGATGGGGGAAGGGAGAGAGAGGAGTCAGGGTTTGAGCCCGGGTGATTAGGAGGATGGAGGCACCCACCATAGTAATAGGGAAGATTAGAAAGGGGAGGATTTAGGAGGAAAGATAATGAGTTCAGTTGAGTTCAAGATGTCTCTCGGGCATCCAATCTGAGACGTCCAATTTGAGACGTCCAGAAGGCAGTTGATGACACAAGACTGGCGCTCAGAAGAGAGTTTGGGGTCCAACCTATCCACCTGCAAGTCATTTGCATAAAAATGATCATTGAACCCAAGGTGGCTGATGAGATCCCCAGGGAGATGACAGTGAGGAAGAAGAGAAGCCAGCTTAGGACCAGTCGCAGGGGACACCTGCCAAGTGTGACCTGGATGAGGATGGAGCGGAGGAGGCTCAGACAGGTAGGAGGAGAACCAGGAGAGAGCAGGGTCTCAGAGACCAAGGGTAGGGGGTCAACAGAGTCAAATGCGTCAGCCACTGAGGTGCAGAAGAACCAGGACTGAGGAAAGAGTATCAGATCTGGAACCTCAGGGGCCTTAGTCACTTTGTTTTTGTTTTCTCTGTTAGGTAATGGGGTTAAGTGACTTGCCCAGGGTCACACAGCTAGTAAGTATCAAGTGTCTGAGGCCGGATTTAAATTCAGGTCCCTTCTGACTCCAGGACTGGTGCTAAATTTATCCACTACACCACCTAGCTGCCCCTCCTTCATCACTTTGGAGGGGGTATTTTGGGTTAAGCGATGAGGTTGGAAGCCAGATTGCAAAAGGTGGAGGGGCCAGGGAGAGAAGGGGAAGTGGAGGCCTCACTGGAGGTGACTTTTCTCAGATTCGGGCTTCAGAAAGGGAGGGATCCAGGACATAGTTGGAGGCTCTAGGTCTAGGCCAGGGGTGAATTTCTGTGAAGTCTGGATTCAGGCAAAGGGCCATACTTGAGATCAGAGGGCCACATGTGGTCTCGAGGCTTCAGGTTCCCCACCCCTGGCCTAGGCTCTAGGGAAGGGCTGGTTTTTTTTTTTTATTGTACCCTGTATATCCTGGCTCCCCACCTCAGAGAAGGGTGGGCCTCGTCAGTGTTCCAGGGGTAACCCTGAGGGTTGAAGGTCTCTCTTTTCTTAAGTACCATCAGCTCAAGTCCCCCCAGCTGTATTCCCTTCCATTTACTGGGGGCCTGTGCCTAGCACCCCAGTTCTGTTGAACTGCTTAATATCAATTAGCAAAAGATATCACCAGAACAAACGCACAAAAATCCCTCTCAACAGCCCAGGGGCATATTCCCTGAGGGAGAGCTGAGGTTGGTGAGTGACTAGGGATGATAAGGAGAGAACATTGGGCTGAAGATGGGAAGGGATGGGAAGAAGATGGTTCACTTCGAAAGGCTGGCCTTGGCAAGGACAAGGCCCCCCTCTTTGTTAGAGACTGGAGGGAGAGTGGGAGGTGATGACAGGAGGTCTGGGGATGAAGAGAAGGGGAGAAGTGGGACCTCTTGTGTACTCCTTCCTTCCTTCTCTCTTTCTTTCTTTCTTTCTTTCTTTCTTTTTCTTTCTTTTTCTTTCTTTCTTTCTTTCTTTCTTTCTTCTTTCTTTCTTTCTTTCTTTCTTTCTTTCTTTCTTTCTTTCTTTCTTTCTTTCTTTCTTTCTTTCTTTCTTTTCTTTCTTTCTTTCTTTCTTTCTTTCTTTCTTTCTACCAGCCTCCATTTTCTTAGCAAAGTAGGAGGCAGGGTCCTTAGGAGAGGGAGGGGGGAGCTTGAAGGGAGAAGAACCAATTCAGAGCAGCCTCCATGGGAAGTGAGACAGAGCATTCATTCAGGCAGACCAGGAGGATTGCTTTGCTGCAGTGAGAGCCCAGCTGAAGTAAAATTACATAAACAAGTGGTAGATGCAGTTAGCTGGGTTGTATGACATCCGGCTCTGTTCAGCAGCATGTGAGTAGGAGCTGAGGAGGTCAATGCTGAGGGTAATTCAGGGTTGGAGTTCGGCTAGGAATGGTCAAGCCGGTGAGGAATTCAAAATTACATTCAACTGGAAGCTCCCTTCCTTTGTATTCCCAGCACACAGTAGGCACTTAAAAAATGCTTGAAGTCAGAGCAAGGACGATGTCAGGGCAAAGTACTGAGGTGTAGAAGGAAGGATTTAGCAGTGATGAAGAACAGACAGAGATGAATGAGAGCAGGTTAGAGTCATAGAAGAATGTCTGAGGTTTGTGATCAAAGAACTCTCCATTGTGTTGGGGAGGGACGGTGAGCCACGGGGAGATTTGCGGTGATGGGAGCTGATGGGGTTTGCGGAGGCTGAGAGCTGGGAGGCCAGGGCGTTTGGAGAAACATCGACAGGACGGGGATAACATGAAGTGCAAGGTCAGGAGTTAGGATGGGGAGGAGGATTAGGAGCCGGCGCTGAGAGCTCCCAGAGGGAGGAGGCGTCTGTGCAAAGGGAAAGGTTTGACCAGAGTGGGCTTCGAAGGAAGAGGAGCTGCCGAGCGATGGGGACGGGACCCTAGGACCAGCGTGATGGGGGCGGGGCTGGACCCTATCGGGGAAGCTGCCAAGGGTGCTATGGGAAGCCAGCAGTGGGGAGCCAGGGGCTGGAAGGAATCGGAGGGGAAGAGGTTCCGACGGAGGGGATTGATTATGGAATGGGAGATGCAGAGGGCACAGCGGGAAGAAGGGGCGGCAGGCTTGGAGTCTGGCCAGGAGGGGTAAAGGAAGGGAGGCGGAGGTCAGGGCCAGGCAGAATAACCGCCTGATACCGGGAGGGCAGTGACTTGGCCAGGGCCAACTGGCCACTATACGTCAGAGCATAGTGCAGCAGAGCCCCAAACTTGTGGGGTTGGGGGCGGGAAGCATGGTGTAGCTGAGCCCCATCCACGTGGGCCACGGGGCGCAGGAGCCGGGTTCAAAGGCGCACACGGGTGCGGCCCTGGAGCCGCCGCTTAGGGCTGCGGGACTACGCGGGGCAATACGGCCGTGCTGCGGGACTACGCCGGTCTTTACGGCTGGGCTCGGAGGTCGCCGGCTGTGCGCTGTTGCGGGGCGCCAGGTCGGAGGTTCGAGTCCCGCTTCCGCGCTCTTGCCCCAGCCGGCTCCCCGCTCTCCGCGCTGGGTTATGGCGGGGGGCTCCGCGGCCGAGTCCCCGCACGGGCTGTTGGGCCGGGTGCGCTTCCTGCAGGAGGCGGCCCGCTGCCTCCGCGCCGCCCGCCCCCTGCCGCGGCCGCTGGCCTTCGTGCCCCTCGAAGTCCGCTACAAGCTGTGCAAGGACCCCGCGGGCCCCGGGCCCCCGCGCTGCGTGCTGCCCGTGTGGGCGGCGCCCGACCCCGCTGCTGCCGGGGCCGCTGCCAGGCGTGCCGGGCGAGGCAGCCTGGGCAGCATCGAGGTGCAGCGCGGGGGCTGCGTGCGGGCCACGGGCGAGGAGCTGTGCAACAGTCATGGGCTCTGGGTCAAGCTCACCAGGGTGAGGGGCATCCTCGGGGAGGGTGGGACGGTGAGGGGAAGGAGCAGGGAGACCCACCCTCCCGAAACACCGGGCATTTGCCTGTGTCCTTTGCCCTCGTCAAGCTGGCACCTGGCCCATCCCGAGGCCCGGCTGCTTCCGGCTCTGCCCAGGTGGCCAGACCTAGACAGGGGAACTAGCCCCAATGGAGGAGGGAGGGTAAGGGAAGGGGACAGGTTCCCGAGGCCCAGGCTCAGGTCCTAGTGGCCCCCCGGCAAGACAGAGCCCAGAGTAGAAGAGCCCCCCATGCCCCAAGGTCTCCCCACAGAGGCTTCCTGCCCAGCCCTGCGATGAGTAGGGATGGAGGATGGGTGGAGGATGGAGGGATGCATGGATGGAGAGATGGAGGGTCCAGGCCCCCTTCCTCCATCTCCCCCCTATCGCCCCTAGTCCTGCCCCTGGCTGCACCGCCCCCGCAGGGTCCCAGGGCAGCCCCGACAGGGCGGGCGGCTCTGAGCCTCTGTCGGCCCCCAGGAGCAGCTGGCCGAGCACAAGAGCAGCTGTGACCTCCCCGAAGGCTGGCTCCTGGCCTGCAAAAATGCCGAGGGCGGAGACCGCCTGGTGCCCGTGGCCTCCATCGACCGCCTGCAGAGGCAGCAGCAGCTCTTTGGAGTGGACTTCAGGCCCGTGGTCAGGTCAGCTGCCCTGCCGTGGGACTGGACGCCTAGCCCCCCACCCCCCACCCCCCGCCTGCCTTCCTCTTCTGGATGTGCCTCTCAGATTGCTGGGACCTGCCAGTCCTCTGACCCTGCTAGTGCAGCTCATAGGGGGGGTAGAGAAGAGAAGGGGGGGGTGGGAAGAGAAGAGGGGTGGGGAGGGGGAGGGAAGGGGGAAAAGAGAAAGAGAAGGGGAGGGGGAAGGAAGAGGGAGAGAGGGGAAAGAAGGAAGGAAGGTGGACGGAGGAAGGAAATCTATACTTACTAAGATCTTAGGCTGTGCTGGGCACCTGTTAACCACTTTAAAAGTACTACCTCATTTAATCCGCACAAACACTCTGAGAGCTGGTGCAGTTATTATCTGTCTTTTACGAGGAAGCTGAGGCAGACAGGTTAAGTGACTTGCCCCTTACTTCCTGCGTCTAGGCCCAGTGCTAGCACCTAACTCTATTTCCATCTGGAATATAGTGGCAGTGAGAGGGAATAGTAGGAAATAAATCTGGAGAGGAAGGTGTGGAAGGGCCTTAGCTTCTGCTTTCCTCCTCAGGAACGGGGAGCCTTGTCTTGAGCTGAGAAGGGTCGTGGCTAGGCCTTAGGGGACAGCCTGGACTCTGGGGCTGATTCCAGCTGTCAGACTGCCCCTCCCTTGTGCCTGCAGGTGGGAGCAAGTGGTAGACCTGAAGTACTCCCTACGCTTGGGGGCCCAGCCGAAGCCTGCAGAGGAAGACGCTGAGGCTGTGGAGAGGCTGCTGTAAGTGTTGGGGTAGGGAGGGAGCTCTTTTCTTAAATATTTTTTGGTTAGATTTGTTTAACTCTGAATGGGCTTCATTGAGGGCCCCCAACTATCATAATTTTCTGTCTTTTTCTGCCTGCCCCTCTTTTTAAGCTTTCCTGTAATGGAGGGAGGTCTGGGTCTGGTCTGCAAGGTCTGGGGGAATATGGGAATCTCACCCATGTTCCCATTCTTGGCCTGATCCGAGGTGGGGGTGGGGCGGGCAGGTATGTGCCACCAACATGGACCTATGAGTGTGATGAGGACCTGGTCCACTTCTTGTATGATCACGTGGGCAAGGAGGACGAGAATTTGGGCAGCGTGAAGCAGTATGTGGAGAGTATCGATGTGTCTTCCTACACGGTGAGGGTCAGCTGGAACCCGGAGCCCGCTGCAGCACTCCCCTGGCCCCCCACTGTCCCAGTGTGTGCTGCTCACCTGGGATACAAAGGTAGAAAATGACACCAGCCTGCCCTCAGGGAGCGCCGCCTGCTCTATTTGGCAGCTGGCATCCACACATAGGCAGATAGAATTACCCCAGGTAGGATATGATGAGAGCGTCACAGAAGAGAGTGTGGATGTCTGGGGCTTCAGCAAGACTGAGGTGACCCTGTGGCTACAGAGCTAAATCAGTAGAGTAGAGTGGATGGGCCTGGGATTAGAGGCAGAGGCCCTGAGTTCTAATCCTGCTCTGCTATTTCCCACCTATGTAACCATGGGCAAGGTCTTTCATGACTTCCCCGGGCCTCGTTTTCTAGGCAGGGTTGGCCTCAGTGATGTCTGATTGCTGCAGGGACCAGACAGGGCCTTCTGCTTGATCTGGGAACTTCTATTTCTTGGTCCCCACCTCTCCTGTGAAAGGAAAGAGGTCCTTTCTCCAGGTTCTGCTCTGTGGCTGTGGTGCTTAGCCATCAGAAGTGCCCAGGGTCTGTTTTGTCTTGGCGTTTTTTCCACATGCACTGTTGTGCGGTGGCCTCTGTGGACACTATCCTGGTTCTGCTCTCAGCCCTGCATCAGTTCATGCATCTTCCCCAACTTTTCCAAATTCTTCACGGCCGTCACTTCAGATGGAGCAGTGATAGTTTATGGGTTCATCCCTTTCCTGCCGTGGGCACCCACTTTATATCTGGTTCTGTGCTGCTGCCGGAGAGATTGCTTTGAATATTCTGAGGTCTGTGGGACCTTCCTTTCGGAGGTCTGTGCCCTGGGCCAAAGGGCTTTCATCCCTACTGTGGCATCATTCCCAATTGCTTTCCAGAATGCAGACCCAAGTCTTCTGACTCTTGGTCCAGGACAGAGCTAGGAGTAGGGGTGGGGGGAGCTGCCCAACAGGGAAAGTTTCCCCACACTGAGAACTTTCCAGAATGGACCAGGCTGCCTGAGAGGTAATGAATTCCCCATCCCTGGAGGGCTGCAAGCATGACTACTGTTTGGGGTGTTCTGGAGGGATTCCTGTTCAAAGCCTGACTGGATGAGATGCCTCAGAGAGCCCCCCCAGCTCGGGTGTCTCTGACCCTTTCTATGCCCCCTTGTGTCTCTGCCGGTTGTTCTGCTCAGATAAACACACACACATAGCTAGTGAAGAGCCCAGCTGGGATTTGAACCCACAGCTTCTCACTCTGAGGCCAGAGTCATGGTGCGGAACTCCCCAACCTTGGAGCTCTAGAATCAGGAGGGACCTCAGGGATCATCTGGCCTACCCCGCTCCTTTCCAGGCCCTAGGGGGAGAAGGGTCTTGGCCGAGGTCACACTTACCCAGGGAAGAACCAGGATTGGAACCCAGGGCCCCTGACTCCAGACCAGGTGCTTCCAGTGGTGCCCTTGCACTGGGCTGAGTTGGGGAGGGAAGGCTGCAGCTTGGCTGCCCTCACCTGTCCCTTCTCCTCAGGAGGAATTCAACGTGTCCTGCCTGACAGACAGCAATGCAGACACCTACTGGGAGAGTGATGGGTCTCAGTGCCAGCACTGGGTTCGCCTCACCATGAAGAAGGGCACCATCATCAAGTGAGTGCAGGCCCTTCTCCCCCTGGGCCCAGGGGCCACCTAACCTTCCCCCGGGACGAGGCCACCTGTGGCCCTTCCTCCCACCCCTGGCCTGCCTTCTGGAGGAGGGCACCCGGCCAGTTCTGGGAGGGCTCCCTGAGAAGGGCACCCAGCCAGTTCTGGGAGGGCTCCCTGGGAAGCCCCTTTCAGCCCTCCTGGTCTCCTGCCAGGAAACTGCTGCTCACAGTGGATACGACAGATGATAATTTCATGCCCAAGCGAGTTGTCGTGTATGGGGGTGAGGGGGACAACCTGAAGAAGCTGAGTGATGTGAGCATTGATGAGTAAGTGGTGGCCCTGGGTGGGGTGGGGTGTGCCCAGTATTGGGGGTGCATAGGCAGGGCCCTTCCCTGAGCGTTAAATGGGGAGCATCTTTCTGTCCTTCCCCAGGACCCTGATTGGGGATGTCTGTGTCCTGGAGGACATGACCATCCATCTTCCTATCATTGAGATCCGCATTGTGGAGTGCCGAGGTGACATGGCAGGGAGCCGGCACAGGCAGGGGGAGGGGGGCCAGGCCAAGGGAGGTGAGCCTGGGGCTCTGGGGGTGAGGGGATACCTGGATGCCCTTAGCTTGCCCTCTTCCCTGTTTTCTCTATAAAATGTAGGGGTTGGACCAGGGACTCTGAGGTCAGTCCCTGCAGGATGCTGGGCCTTCCTGCTTAGCTGGGAAAGCCTGGGGAGGGGAGGTCAGTGAGACCTCTGGAGGGCAGCAGAATGGCCCTAAGCTCTTCCAAGGGCAGAGGACTGATGAGGATGGCTGGGCCATGGGACAGGATGGGGGGAGGAGCAGGGCAGAAACTCCCTTGGGAGGCCATGGGGAGATGAGAGTGGAGCCTGGAGGTCAGCGGAGGTGGATTTGAGAGCAGCAGCATAGGATGGGGATTTTGGTTTGCGTGCCTGTATGCGGGTCGTGTGTCTCCTGCCTTGTCAGTGGGGAGGAGAGAAAGTGAAACTGAAAATAAACTAAAATTTAAATTAAAATAAAAGGAGAGAAACATTAGCCTGGAGATGATAATTATACCTAAGGGAGCTGAGGGAGGAGAGGGCTTGGGCACCTCTGTCCGTGTTTCAGTGAAGGGGCTGCACTGAAGGTGGGGCTGGGGGTGAGGGAAGCTTTGGGGGTCAGACTCACACAATCCCTCCCTGGCAGATGATGGAATCGATGTCCGCCTTCGTGGAGTCAAGATCAAATCCTCCAGACAGCGAGACCTGGGGCTAAGTGCCGATATGTTCCAGCCTGCCAACCTGGTACGCTACCCACGCCTGGAGGGCACGGCGCCCGAAGTCCTCTACCGCCGGGCTGTGCTGCTGCAGAGGTGCTGGGGCTTGGGCCCCCTGGGTAACCCTTGAGCTGGCTTCCACTGGTCCAGCGGCATCACCCCCCACACCTCATCTTGGTGCCAGCAGTGGTCAGAGGCTGGGTGGCTCCCGGGGAATTCCCCTCCCACCCCGGCTAGGCTGGGCCCCTCCTGCAGCCCGCATCTCTGCTGCCCCCTCCCCAGGTTTATCAAGGTCCTCGACAGCGTCCTGCACCACCTCGTCCCTGCCTGGGACTACAGTCTGGGCACCTTCAGTTACATCAAGGTGAGTACCCGGGCCTGGAGGGGAGGCAGAGCCTGGGGGCCTGGAAGACCCCCTCAGCGCAGGCCCCCGAGGCTGGATCCAAACAGCCATGCTCTCTGTGGCATATGCTGGGATACCTCCAGTGACAGGGAGCTTACTACCTTTCTTCCTCCTCACCCCCAAAGACTTTTACAAAACTCTCTCTTGATCCTTGCAACAAACCCTGGGAATTAGATACTATTATTATCCCCATTTCCAAGATGAGGAAACTGAGGTAGAGTTCACGAAGCAGCTCGCCCAGGGTTGCACAACAGTATTGGTCTGAGGCTGGATTTGAACTCAGGTCTCCCCAGCTCCAGGCCTGGTGCTGTACCCACTGTGGACCACCTAGCCACCCCTTCCAGATCAGAGACAGAGATGGGCAGTGCACTACTGCACTGAGTGAGTGGCAAAACAGGTTGAGGGGGCAGCTAGGTGGCACAGTGGATAGAGCTCTGGCCTTGGAATCAGGAGGACTTGAGTCCAAATGTGGCATCAGACACTTGAAACTTACTAGCTGTGTAACCTTGGGTAAGCCGCTTAACCCTGATTGCCTCACAAAAACCAAAAACCAAAAACAGGGATTGAGGATTGTAGAGTTTCCAGGAGGTGCAGAGAGAAGGGGGTCATCCCGTGAGCGGTGGTGGGGCCCGGCTCCGGCCTCAGTCCTGTGCCTCAGGTCCAGGCCTCCTTCCCCCACCACACTGCTTGCCCAGAGCTCCCGGGGGGCCTCATGCAGCATCCCCCAATACTCCCCAGCAAGTCAAGCAGTTCCTGGTGCTGTCTCGCCGGCGCCCGGCCCTGGTGTCCCAGTGTCTGCGTGACTCGGAGAGCAGCAAGCCCAGCTGCATGCCCCGCGTCTACATCAACCGCCGGCTGGCCATGGAGCACCGCGACTGCCCAGCCCGGGACCCCAGCTGCAAGAACGCTGTCTTCACCCAGGTCTGCCGCGGCCCGGGGCTGGGGGAGGGGGGCTGGCCGCAGGCTGCTCACGCTCTCCTCCCCCCCCGACCCAGGTGTACGAGGGCCTCAAACCGTCTGACAAATATGAGAAGCCTCTGGACTACAGGTGCGTCCCGGCGTGGAGGCTCCTGCCCTCCTCTCCTTGCTCCAAACACTTCTGTGGCTCTCTGGGGCCCGCTGAACAAGTGCAGCCACCGCTTCTGGCCTGGCCTTCGAGGCCCTCCTTTGCCCATGCTGCTTGTTTGCCTGTCCATCCATTCAGCAGATAAAGCAAGCATTTATTAGGCACCTGCTGTATGCTGAGCGCTGTGCTGGGCCTGGAAGACACAGCATTTAGGGGTGAACCTTGACCTCTGGGAGCTTCCGTCTGAGGAGGGGGAGATGGGGACACAGGCACGGGCAGAGGGCCGTATGCATCACCGTGACGGCGTGTGGGTGTTCTGGGGGGCCGGCCTCAGGCTCCTTGGGATTCTTGGTCGCGATCAGGACGCAGAAGGGCCCAGTCACAGTCAGGTGCTGACCAGCGCCTCCGAGGCCGAGGCCAGTCCAGACCTGCATAGGGAACCCTCTGCAGCATCTTGGCCAGGGAGCCTTTTGTCTGCTTGGATACCTCTGAGAACATTTTCTCCCCACTGCTCTTGGCTCTGTCCAGACAGAACAAGGCTGATCCCTCCTCCTGGTTCAGCCCTTCACATACTTGGAGGCAGCCATGCCTCCCAAATCTTCTCTAGTCCAGACTAAACATGCCCTTCTTTGGTCAGTCCTCATGGTTTTCACTGCCCTAGTCAGCCCCCTGGACACTGGCCACCTGTCCCTGTCTTTCCCGTAGAAAGGGAGCCTTCCATCTAAACTGCCGCCTGCCCTCTCAGAGCAGAGGACCCCCCCCCCGGTCATCTGACCTTGAACTTGACCCTGTCCTCAGTGGTCTGAGTCTCACCTCCCTGGTCCAGCCCCCTCATCTAACAGAGGAGCTAACTGAGGCACAGAGGGGGGCGGCTTGCCCGAACACACGGGCAGAGCAGGAGTTTCCTCAGTGCTGCCCCAGGTGCCCCCACTCTTACCTGGTAAATTCAAATCTAGCAATGCCAGTTCCTTTAGAAAGGCCCTCCACCCATTCTGTGCCTTGAACCTCCCCCTCCACCCCAGATGGCCTATTGTTGATGGCCATCCCAGCTCTGGGTGTGTGTCTCATTCCACCCCTGGACCGTCAACCCCAAGGAGCAGAATCACAGCTGTCTAAGCATACAGTTGGTGCTTAATACATGTGCATGGAATGGAATGGAGGGTGCCCTGTGTTTCCTTCCCCGCCCCAGGGCACCATGCGCCAGGGGCCAAGGGCGACATCTGGCTCTGGGTGGGCCCTGATAGGACACAGGCTGGACCGGCCAGCCACGGGATTAGGACCCCTGTTCTCTGGCAGGTGGCCTCTTCGCTATGACCAGTGGTGGGAGTGCAAGTTCATTGCTGAAGGCATCATTGACCAAGGTGAGGATGGGTTGGGAGAGCTGGGCACTGGCAGGGCCGGAGGGGGCACCTGCAGCAGGCATCGAGCAGGGAGCCTCACTACAACATCCCCAGCTCATAGTCAGGTCCCTCTGAGGAGGGATGGGGAGCTCACTACCTACCTTTGGGACAGCACAGAGGTTTTCCTTCTGCTGAGTGTGAGTTTGACCCTTTCCGTGCCCTCACCGCCCCCCAGCCCACACACATGGTGCCTGGTCCTGTCTTCTGGGGCCAAGCAGGCCTAAGCTAAGCCCGTTTCCTTGGGACAGCCCTCAGGCACCTTAAAGGCTAAATCTATCGCCGGACAGATCCTTATTGGTCTGGGTCAGGGCAGGTCCCAGAACTGTGTAAATGTATTATTTTGGTTTTTCGGGGGGTCTGTGGCTCCAGGGGGTGGTTTCCGGGACAGCCTGGCTGACATGTCCGAGGAGCTGTGCCCTAGTTCAGCCGACACTCCTGTCCCCTTGCCTTTCTTCGTCCGCACAGCCAACCAGGTAGGTAGGATCAGGGCACAGGGAACATGAGAGAAAGGCCCGGGGGCAAAGAGGGGAGCAGGGTGGCTTGGGTGGAAGGTGGGAAGGTGGGAAGGTGGGAGGCCCACCCACCCACCTGATACCAGGAAAGCGGTATGAGCCTGCAGGGGGAGGTTGCAGTCAGGCTGGAAGAAGCTGGGTCGGGGGGCCTGGGTGGATGAGGACGAATGTGCGTGTGGGACCCAGTGATACTTACCGCACAGATGCAGTTTGTCCTGGTTTTATAGGGCTCACAACAGCCCTGCTGGGGTGGGGATGCAAATATTAGCAGGCCCATTTTACAGAGGAGAGACCAAGGCCCAGGGAGGGGGTGTACCATGACCAATGAGTGGTGGAGTCAGGTCTCTGTCGGACCCTGCTCCTTCCCCTAGACCAGGCTGCTCCTCAGGGGCCAGAGGGGACCCTGAGGGCAGCTCTGGCTACAGCAGGGACAAAGCCACACTGTTGCGGACTTAGGAGCTGAAGAGCAGGGCAGATGCTCAAGGTCAATCGTCGATAAAACATTTATTAAGCACCTACTGTGTGCCTGGTAGAGGTCGCTAATGGTCAAAGGATGACATAGTGGGAGGTTATGGGATGGGACATTGGGGCCAGAAGGCTCTTAATTCTGGGGAGCTCTGAAAGCAGAGGTGTTGGGATGGGCTGCAGGGGGAGGTGAGAGCCTGGAGTCAGGAAGGGAGGAGAGGCCCCTTCAGCCTGAAGCAGGAGGCCCAGGGCTGGGTGGGGAGGGGCTCCCTTGGCCTGCCTAGCACTGAGGGGTGGGGGCAGAAGGACACGGTGGGAGAGGCCCATGTTTGGGGCCACACTCAGGCCCAGGGGACCATCATAGTTTGTTTGTAAAGGTGTCATCCGGCCTGGCGTCTGCCCTCACAGGGCCTGCACAGGACGCCGAGGCCACGGCAGGTGTGTTAGAGTCTGGTGTGTCAGGGAGGTGGAGGCGACGTCCCTGGAGAGCTTCCTAGAATCTGGCTGAGCTGGCTGGAGAGCTACCCAGGCAGCCCAGGCCAGCCCCTGTCCACAGCCCCCTTTCCACTGCCCAGGCCGCAAGGGCAGTGCTCCCCTCACCCCCACGGGCCCTGCAGCCTGAGAGCCCTGTCTCTCCTGACAGGGCAATGGAACCGGTGAGGCCCGGGATATGTACGTCCCCAACCCTTCCTGTCGAGAGTTTGCCAAGTACAAGTGGATCGGGCAGCTGATGGGCGCTGCCCTCAGGGGCAAGGAGTTCTTGGTGAGTGGGTGGCACTGAGGGACGGGTGCTCTGGCCAGGGCAGCCCAAGGGAGTGGTTTGGGGGGACCTGGCTAGTTGCCCCACAGGGTCAGTGCGGTAGAGTGGGACGTGTACTGGCTTTGGTGTCAGGGGCCCTGGGTTCAAATCCTGTCTCTAACCCTTACTGTTTGTGACCCTGAGCAAGTCACTTGGTTTCTACTGACACACCTGTGAAGCAGGGACTAGAATCCTCAATCCTTTGCTGCCATACCTGGCACCCACACAGCATGGCCCTTGTCCTGGCAGGTGCTGGCTCTGCCTGGCTTCGTGTGGAAGCAGCTCTCGGGGGAGGAGGTGAGCTGGAGCAAAGACTTCTCCGCTGTGGACTCCGTGCTGGTGAGTGCCCGCTAGGAGGCCGTGAGTCCGGCTGGCCATCAGGACACACTGTCCCATGGCAGAGGGGGCCGCTTCCATGGGTGGTGGGCTCCCTGAGCCCCTTGAGCTGTCTCACAGCTGCCCCTCCCTCTTCCTGGGCCAGGTGAAGCTGCTGGAGGTGATGGAGGTGATGGACAAGGAGACCTTTGACTTCAAGTTTGGGCAGGAGCTGATGTACACCACAGTGCTCAGTGACCAGCGTGTGGTGGAGCTTTTGCCTGGCGGGGCGTCCATGGCCGTGCACTATGAGGACCGCGGGCGCTTCATTGAGTTGGTGCAGAAAGCCAGGCTGGAGGAGAGCAAGGAACAGGTAGGGGGCCGGGGGCAGGGTGTGGGAATGGGGCAGGCAGCAATCTCCCTGTGCCCTCCTCCTCTGTTGGAGGGCATCCAGGAACAGAGGGCCAGTGACTTACCCAGGATCATCCAGCATGTGGGGCGGAGCTGAGCTTCCCACCTGGACCTTCTGCTCCAGGGGAAGGTGGGGACCCTAAGCCCCAGAGCTGAGCTGGGTCCTGTGCTACCCCCTGCCACCCAGGTGGCAGCCATGCAGGCGGGGCTGCTGAAGGTGGTGCCCCAAGCGGTGTTAGACTTGCTGACCTGGCAGGAGCTAGAGAAGAAGGTGTGCGGGGACCCTGAAGTCACAGTGGATGCCCTTCGTAAGCTGAGTGAGTCGTGGCCTCAATGTTACTGGGGTGTGGGGAGGGGGATGGTGGAGAAGGCTCTGGGCCGGGATCTCAGCTGCTTCCCTCATCAGTGGGTTGGGGGTGGAGATGGAAATGCAGCTGATCTCTGGGGTTGCTTTTTGCTGAGAATCCTCCACTTCCAGGGCTCCACCTCAGACTCCTTCTCTTTTTCTCCCCTATCTGTCTCTCTCTGTCTGCGCCACAGCCCGGTTTGAGGACTTTGAGCCATCAGACACCCGTGTGCAATATTTCTGGGAGGCCCTCAACAGCTTCACTAATGGTGAGTAGATGGGGGCCCAGCCTGGCCTGTACTGTCCATCCTTGTGATTACCATTACCTCCTGTGCCTAAACGGAGTGGGCCACCTGCATGGGGAGTGAGCTCCCAGTCATGGGAGAGCTTCAAGGGATGTCTGACCTGACCTCATTCCTCAGAGGACCGGAGCCGCTTTCTCCGCTTTGTCACTGGCCGGAGTCGCCTGCCCGCCCGCATCTACATCTACCCAGACAAGCTGGGGTAAGTGGGATGCACAGGGTTGGGGGGGAGGGGAATAGGGAGTGGGCTGCCTGGTGGAGGAGGAAACTGGTTGGGAATGTCCTATGGTCCTGCCCAAGACTAGGCGGCCTTGATGAGAAATCGGTGTGATGTAGGGGAGAGTCAGAGGCCTCGCTCTCTACCGGGCCCTGGTTTCCTCTTCCAAAGAAGATGGGGTCTAGGCTTGATGGTGTCCAGGGTCCTCTTCAGCTCTCGACCTTGCTGCTCACTGGGTGCCCAGTGCTCTTGGCTTCCAGGGGTGACATGCTACATGTGAGTCCCTGGGGGCAGCACACACAGAGAGGGTAGACCAGAAAGGGGTCCTCCCTTCACTGACTGCCTCCTGTCCCCTGAATGGCTGGGCTGGGGGCAGCTCTGAGGGTGCGGGGGTCCCTGACTCCTGACCTCTTGGCTTCCCACCCCCCAGCTCGGAAACAACTGATGCTCTGCCCGAGTCTTCCACCTGCTCTAGCACCCTCTTTCTGCCCCATTATGTCAGGTGAGTGGTCACCTCTTCATTGGGCCCAGACAGCCCCTTCCAGGGGTCTGAGGGGCTGGTTTGGGGAGGAGGGATCAACCTTCTTCTGCAGCAGTGGGAGGGAAGGTGCAGAGAGAGACATTGAGGCCAGACATCAGGAAAAAAATTTTGTGATCGTCAATTGATCCAAAGCGGAACAAACTGCCTTGGTGGGTAATGAGCTCCCCATCATTGGAGGAGGTTGGCTGATCAGAGATGTTGTGGGAGGATTCCTAGAAGGAAGCTGGGCTGGGCTGGGCTGGGCTAAATGGACCCCAAGGGTCCTTGAGAGGCTCATGAGCCTGTCCCTCCCACCACATGTCTGTCTCTGTGTTTATTGATGGGGTTCAAGGAAGCAAGATATTTGGGTCCCCACACTGCCTCGGCCTCATTTCCCCTCACACTCATACCGTCCCTTCTCTCTTTCCCTTCTCCTCCCCACACAGTGCCAAGGTGTGTGAGGAGAAGTTGAGGTATGCTGCCTACAACTGCGTAGCGATTGACACGGACATGAGTCCCTGGGAGGAGTGAGCTCCCCAGCCTGGCAGGGCCCCCAGGCAGGTTGGCACTGGGCTCTGGGTGGCAGAGTTCCTCAGGACAGCAGTGAGTGCCTTCTCTACTGTGCCTCTGCTGGGGGGCTGATGCCCTCAGCATCCTTGTGAGGTTGAGCTGCCTGGGGGGCGGGGCTGAAGGCAGCTCCTACCCCAATAAACCACTTTACCCCTCTCTTGGGCCATCTGTGGTTTCTTGGAGTCCTGGGGGTCCAGGGGTCAAGGCAGCCTCTGCTCTGTCTGGTCTCAAGTGCCTTCCTAGAAATCGCCAGCCCAGGGCATCAGGGTGTGGTGCCTTCCTGAGACAGCCTCGTGCAGAGTGGGCAGGGTCAGGGGCTGGGTTCTGATGCTGCCTGGCTTCAGGTTCCTTCCCCACCACCGGTGCCTCTGGGACCTGGTAGACTCTGTTTTCTCCTCTGACAGACAGTTCTGACCATCCTCACACTCCCTCCCAAGGTACATTCTTAAGAGATTCCTCTAGGAGAAAGAAGGGCCTCTGTCCCTTCTTGGGGTGGAGGTGGGGGCTGGGAAGAGGCCTGAAATCCTGCTTTGGAGCTCTCCCCACCAGACAGAATCCTCCCGGGAGCCCTGTAGGAGTGTGACCCTGGGTGGCTGCTGGAAAAGCTTTGAGTCTTTAAGGCAGAGGGTCCTGACTCTTCTTGTGGCATGGAACCCCTTCTTAGAGGAATGTTTTTAAATGCTATATATGCAATACAGATAATTACAAAGCAAACCGATAATAGTAAAATGCAGCTACCAGATATTAAAAAAAGAAAAAGAAGCTCAGAGACCCCAAGTTAAGGGCCCTGCCTCAAGGAATTGTCCACTTATAGGGCTTGTGGATTCTTTCCTGAGGACACATGTTGGGGTGAGGGCTGAGTCCATCCTCACGGCAGTGGTAGAGAAGAGAGGGCCTTGACCATGCCTTCAGAGGCTGTGGGAGTGGGAACGATTAATCCTCCTCTGGATAATCTCCAGATGTTCAGTGTCCTTCTAGAATGCAGCCCCCAGAATGGAGCAGACTCTAGATAGGTGTGGTCTGATTAGGGCTGGGTAAGGGAGGGATGATCACTTCTTTGGGCTTCCTTGGCTGCCCCATCATGCCGCTGGCTCACAGTGAGCTTGTAGTTAGTCCACTAAAACCCCCCAGAGCTTTTCCTCGTGAACTGCTCACTGTGCCTTCCTTATGCTGTGCTTGTGATGCTGATTGTCTGGACCCAAATGTGAAGCTTTACATTTATCCCTGCTGGGTTTTGTCTCCTAAGGCCCTCATGTCACAGTTATTAGCTGCTTAAGAGCAGCAGCTTAACGTTTAATATGATGGTGGTCTTTATAGACCCGCCCCCAATTAGATTAGACCCCCCAGGGCCTGGCTGCATCTCCCCTTTAGGGTTCTGGGGGCACCCCTGTGAGGTGGCCCGGTATCTTGTTAATGTTGTTGGTTTGAACCCCTGTTCTGGGGGGTTTCTTCCACCATCAGTCATCAATTTTCCCTTCAGTGTCTCCTAACCAGTGCCAGTTAATACTTCCTTATTATCATTGATATCGTTAATTAGCACCCTCAGTATCAATTTGGCCAATTAACATCAAGTAGCTTTTACCAAAAAATGTTTACCCAGGAGAATTAGCTAGATGAGAAGCATAAAAGCATCACCCCAACTGGGGGGCACACTCTCCCTTATGCTGCCTCAGTCCTTGGGAAGAAGTGGGCCCCAAATAAAAGCTGGAAATTGCTCTGGATTTGCAGTCATAGGACGTGGGTTCAAGTCTAGGCTCGACCATTTACTACCAGGTCACCTCGCCAGGCCTCAGTTTCCTCATCTGTAAAGTGAAGGGTTTGGACTAGATGACTTTCAGGGTCCCCTTTCAGCTCTAAATCTATGATCTCTGTGACCTCCTCCCTTTGAGGAGATTTGGGGAGATGGCGGAAGGGAGATATCTCCTTGGGTGGGTAACCTTTTTCCATCCAGTTCTGCTGTGTTCAATTAACTGTGGCCACAGTATGTTGAATATCTGGGTTCCATGACTATGGGGGGTGGTTGACTTGTAGGGACAAGATTCCAGCTATAGGGTAGAGGCTCTAGAGCTGTATATTTAATATTTATGATATTTTGAGTAGTTTTCTGTTATCATTCTCTGGATAAATTCTGAACCTTGTTACTATGCTTGAAGCTGTGGGCCATGGAATTGGGGGAATAAAATAGACAGTTGTAGGCTGAGCATCCTCTTGTGGGCCAAAGGAGATTTGCTGTTCTGTGTTTGATTTTTTTTTTTTTGGTTAGGCAATGGGGTTAAGTAACTTGCCCAGGTCACACAGCTAGTAAGTGCTATGTGTCTGAGACTGGATTTGAACTCAGGTCCTCCTGAATCCAGGGCCGGTGCTCTATCCACTGCGCCACCTAGCTGCCTCTATGTCTGACTCTTTGTGACCCCATTTGGGGTTTTCTTGGCAAAGATACTGGAATGGTTTGCCATTCCTTCCCCAGCTCATTTTACAGATGAGGAAACTGAGACAAACAGAGTTAAGTGACTTGTCTAGGGTCACACAGCTAGTAAGCGCCTGATTTGGCTTTGAACTCAGGGCTTCCTGACTATAGGCCTAGTGCTTTATCCATTGTACCACCTATCCCCCAGAGGGGATACTGTGGCACTTTGGGATACTATTGCACTCATGTAACAAGAAAGGTATGTGGTGATTACTTCACTGGTGGCTTGAAGAGAGTGCCACCTACTGGACAACTTGGATAGTATATCTATTTGCTGGATAATTAATACAGTGAAATGCTTCCATCATGTAGCTTAAGGAAGGCAGCCCAGAAGCCAATTTGTATTGCCTACACTATAGTGTTGTTGTAGTGTGTCAGGTGTCACATGAGGGACACATAACATATCATATGAGAAAAGCACTTTGTAAACGGTGAGTCACCAAAAACATGAAATGTTTGTATTTGCGGAGGCCTGCATTATACTGCTGTATGGGCTGATCACCACTTAACAGCTGCAGGTGACTTAATTCAGAGCCACCAGTGTCTAGAAAACTCCAGAGTGAAGATACAAACAATTTGTAACTCCGGGCCAAGTGCTGACCACTCCAGGGCTTCCTTTTCCTCTCTGCCATCCCCCTATTAGAATGTGAGCTCCTTGAGGGCAGGTCTGTGGTTTTGTTTTTCTTTGTATCCCCAGCCAGTAAGAGCTTAATAAATGTTGACTGAGTAGATGACCTCCCAGGTCTGGTTTGACTCAGAGGTTGGCTTACACTATGACTTCCAGCCCAGGTCACACATGTTCTAAATTCACAGCTGGGAAAAGTCACTAAGTCCATGAGGTTGCTCCATAAAGGACAGATCTGCCATTCGAGGCAGCAGGGGAGCTGCCAACATCAAATTCACATGTGTTTACAGAAGATTATTCCACACCCAATTACTGAAGGTTTTCTTCCCCCAGTTCTTTTGGAAGCATTAAACAAATACCAGGAATCTGCTCAAAGCTTTGTGACGAATCCATTGGGCCATTCCTGGGCTTGGGAACAAAACTGACAAAACACCAGTGTTGGAGGGCTGACATTTGGTTGACAAATTAGGATCTTTCCTCCCCCCTTTTTTTTTATCCTTGATCCAGCAATCTGAAAACAATGATTCCTTTCCCACTGACTGGTCCTCAACCAACTGGTGCTAAGGGAAGGGGATTGCTGTGGGATGATGGGATGGGCTCCAGGTCATGATAAGAGGTCAGGCCCATAGCCAAGGACCCTTGGGTATAGGAGAATTTTCTGGCTGCTGCAGAGGTACCCTGCCAGGCAAAGCCCCCTTTTCAGCACTCTGGGAGAATAAGGAATGTGAAATAATCATGTAAAACAGAAACTTGTGGAGTCATTTCATTAATTGCCTGGAAAAACTAATGGGTTTCATCTTCATGCTGGCAGAGGGCTGGGACAGAGGCCAGGCTCAGGCCAGGTCGGATGCGCAAGGCCAGCCAGGTGTGGGAGCCACTGAGGACCCTCCAGGGGACCCTTGGCACCATGGCTCTAGGGGCCTTTCCTAGAGCCTGTAATGTTGAAAATAAAACAAAGCAAAATAGCACCATGGAGAAGATTCCCAAATGAAAACCGGGCTCTTTGTTTTATTATTTCGTAGACACGTATATTATTTCATAGGCAGTGAGGCACCATGGAGATTGCTAGAGAGTTGGGCTTGAGTTCGGCCTCCTTGGCACTGAGAGCTTGACTTCTCTGGGTCTCTTGTTTTCCCTCCTCTTCTCTTCTGTGCATTTTTTCTTTCTTTGGGGGGTGTTGGGTTTTTTTCCTTTTTTTTGGTCAGTCCTCTTCCCTTACCCAAGTCTTCCTCCTCTGCCACCAGAAAAAGCCAACGAAAAACGAGCCGCATCAAACATTCAAGGTTTGTTGGGAAGGAAGCTTGCGAACTAAGTTTCATTATGAAGCAGTACAGAAATGTGAAGTATCATTCTTATTTTCACATCACATATGACTCAAGTTTAAGAAACATGAGTCCAAGGGCTTGCGGGGAAAACTGAAGCCTCAACATTTTATACCATGAACAAATTCTTTAGGAAGAAAATTTAGGGGCATTAGACATGGAGAATCCCCAAATAACATCACAAAAAATGGCACTGACTATATCTTAACAAAAAGGAAACTAGTTATCAATATAAGAACATTCCAAATCAGCTGTGTGCAATCAGACTAGCCACTTGTCAGAGTGAAGATCAAAATTAACACCAACCTAGAAGAATAAAAATAAGAAGATAAAGTGTGCTTCAAAATAACTCCAACTGGGGTAGCTAGGTGGTGCAGTGCATAGAGAAGCCTTGGAGTCAGAAGGACCTGAGTTCAAGTCTAGCCTCAGACACTTGACACTTAATAGCTATGTGACCCTGGGCAAGTCACTTAACCCCGATTGCCTCACCAAAAAAAAAATAACTCCAACACTATTTGAATGAGCATATTGACACTGAAAAATGAGAAGGGAATAGAGGAACAGAAATTGGCATAGATTATCAATGTTTCCTAAAGAAGTTTAATTGATTTATGTAAATCAGTCATCACTATGAAGAGGCTCAATGATTTGAGAAACTGCCATAGCAAATAAACATTTGATCTTCCCATCAAGGGGGGTCAGATTGGTGGCACAGTAGATAGAACATTATCCCTGGAGTCAAGAAGAGCTGAGGTCAAATTTGGCCTCAGACACTTACTAGCTATGTGACCCTGGGCAAGTCACTTCACCCTGTTTGCCTCAGTTTCCTCATCTGTAAAATGAGCTGGAGAAGCAAATGCCAAACCACTCCAGTATCTTTGCCAAGAAAACCCAAAGTGGGGTCAGGAAAAGACAGACACAATGGAAAAAAAAATGACCAACACCACACCCATCAGGAAAATCTGGCATACAGGGATAAGACAGGTTAGGATAGAAGCTCATTTGGGAAATCTTATGGAGGGGGACAGAAGATTATGAATCGTATCTCCTGACCAAATAGTGAGAAGAGGTGGAGAGAAAATGAGTTTCTAGGAAGCTCAGGAGTGACCCAGTTGAGCTAGACTTCCTTAAGAACACTTGAAAACTAGAAAAGATCTGTCTGTACTACTGTAACAGACTGTTCTCTTCATCAAGGATTTGTGGAGTCACCATCTGGACTGTAATGTAGTCCTTGGTGTGCTACATACATAAAGAAGTAGAAAGAGTACCACCAGACCTGTTCTCTACAGAAATCAGAGAAAGAAGAAAAAGACTGACTGATACAAAGATGGTGGGTTTATATTGGCTCTTTTTGTGGTGGGAAAGAAATGGAAACTAAGCGGATGCCCATCAAGTAGGGAATGCATGAAAAAGCTATGGCATATGAATGTGATAGAATACTATTTTGCCATGAGAAATAGTGAAAGGGATGGTTTCAGAGAAACCTGGAAGGACTTGTGTAAATGGAGCCAGAGGGAAATGAGCAGAACCAGAAATGATACAATAACAACATGGTAAAGAAAGAACTTTGAAAGACTTCAGAACTCTGACCAATTCCAGAAGACTGATGGTAAAGTCTGCATCTCCCCAACACAGTCCTGGCAGAGAGGTGATGGATTAGGGGATAGAACGAGGCACATGTCTCTAGACACGACCACTCTGCTGACTTTAACGTGGGAGCAGCAAAGGCAGAATTGGGACAGATCCTGGAGAGCTTTGCACAAGCAGAGTGGACAAAAGGAGACCAAGGCTCTGCACTGGCCAGATAGAGCAGTGGCAGGGATGGAGAGGGCTGACTTCCAGCTGCTAAGAAACCTCAGCCTGGTGAGACGCAGACAGGCATTTAGGGAGCCCTCTGCTGGGCAGTAGGAGTCCTGTAGCACGTGGGGAGACCCAGGCCTGGGTGCTGGATACACACAAGGGCCCACTTGGCCGGTGGGTCGAATGTGTTGCCACCTGGTGGGCAAATTGGTCAATTACTGGTAAAGTGATGGCACCTCTGTAGCCTTGCAGACAAGACACAAGCTGCTCACGCTAGGGCAGTGCCCCGACTGTCACCTGGGACAGCCACCGAGTGGCCCACCCATCGTGTCACACTTACTAACAAACAGCTTATGCTTGCTGTGTGCTTACATGGACTGTGGTTTGTTAGATGGGACGTGCAAAGGGGGATTCTGGCTGCTCTGGAAGCCAGGGGTGCGAGATGGAGTAAAGGGAGAGGATCCTCCTCAGTGCCTGGCACAGAGGGGGTGCGCAGTGAAGGCTGGAGGAAACAAGGAAGGACCTGGGGTGGGGCAAAATCCTCCTCCTCCCCCTCCTTCCTCTTCCTTCTCCTCCCACCTCCTCCTTCTTCCACGTTCTCTTCCTCCTCCTTCCATCTCCTCCTCCTGCTACTTCCACCTCCCCTTCCTTCCAAGGGGGTTCCTTTGGGTCATGAGTAGGCTGGCTACCAGGCTATCATGCTTCGAGATGCTGCGGTGACTGGCCTCCTTGGAACATAGCGAGCTCCCCATAGCTGCAAGTCTACATGGGCGGGTGACTGAGCGGCTGCTCCTGAAGGTAGCGAGCTTCCGTTACTGGAGTTTGGGATGGGGAGGAGGGCAGGCAGGAGGATGGGGACAACTGACCTCCTGCCTGGGAAGTTGTGAGCTCCCTGACCCTGCAGCTGCTTCCTCCGGTGAGAGCGTGCTGCGGAGGACGGACCTGGACAGCTTGTCTTCTTCGCTACTCGAAAGGTAGTGAGCTCCCCGTCTCTGCAGCAACCTAGGATGGGAGTCTGGGAAGCTGCTCCGGAAGGAGTGAGTTCGCTGTCGCTGCAGGCTGTAAGGATCGGCTCAACCCGCTCTCTCCAGCTTGGCTCTCCAGTCATCTTCTCTCGCCTCGGGGCTAGAGGATCCTCTGCTCGGCGCTCGCTTCGTTAGGGCTGGTCCTCTCTCCTGGCCCCGCCCCCAGCTAATCGATGTGGGCGGATCCGGGCTCTCTGCGCAAGCGCAGTAGCCGCGTGGTCGCCATTGGGCTGTCAGTCTGGCGTGCGACTGGAGGCAGAGGCGGAGGTGAGGCTGGGGGCGGCAGGGGGGCGGTCTGTGTGTGAGGGCCCAGGGTGTCTGAGAGTCGAGGGGGATTGTCTGGGGGCGGGGGAGCCCAGGGTCTCTGAGAGAGAATATGTGGGGAGCTCGGGGTTTCTAAGAGAGGGCAGGGTCTATATGCAGGGGTCCCAGAGTCTCTGGCCTGGGGGGAGGGTCTGTATGTAGGGGACCAAGGGTCTCTGGCCTGGGGGGAGGCTCAGTGTGGCAGCCCCAGGGTCTCTAGGGGAGGGCAGGGTCTGTGTGAAAGCCCCCAGGTCCCTGGCTGGGATCCATGGGGATGTAACATTTGCAAAAAAGAGTAGGTTTGGTTGTCCCAGCCCAGCTGACCATCTGTCAGCTTGTTTCAGGGCTGGCTGGGGTCTGTCTGTCTGCCCCAGCCTTCCCGGTGGTCTAGATGAGTCCATGTGGCCCCCGTATCCCCTGGCCAGTGCTGATGGAGCTCCACTGAGCGAGGAAGGTGGTGGCACCAAAGCTTGCAGCGATACAGTGACTGAGAGAATTGGATAGCCCTGGGACGCGCACCACTCTGCCAGCCTCCCAAAAAACCTCCCCTTTGAGGAGGCTTGTGTGTGGGGAAGAGTCATTGTCTGCTTAAGGCTCGAGCTGGCATGGTGGGACCCTGATCTTCGAGGGGCTTCTGCTGGGTAAACTGGAGATAATCATAGGGGGCAAGACCTAGAATTAAGGGGGACCAGGAAAAGTGGTATTTTAGCTGGGATTTGAAGGAAGCTGGGAAGCAGAGATGAAGAGGGATAGCATCCCAGGGAGGATCCCAGAGGAAATGCAGAGGTTTGGGAGATGGGGCATCTTGTGAGAGAAACAGCCAGGAGGCCCATGTTGCTGTATGGGAGGGGAGGGGGCAGTGTAAGGTGTAAGAAGGCTGGGGAGGATGGGGCAGGTTATGAAGGGCTTTAAAAGCCAAACAGAGGGTTTTATTTGTTGACCTTGGAGGTGACAGGAAACCACTGTAGTTTATTGTGGGGGTGCGTGTTTGTGTGACATGGTTGGACTTGTGCTTTTAGGAAAATCACTTTGGTACTTGAGTAGAGGATGCACTGGAATGGGAAATGTGGCAGGGAGACCCACTTGCAGGCTCTGGCTGCAAGAGTCCAGGCATAAGGCGATGAAGGCCTGTATGTGATGGAGGTGAGGTGAGGTGGAGTATGGCAGCGTCAGAGGGGAGGAAGGAGTGTATGTTGTTAAGAGACGATGAAAAGGAACAATCAGGCCTTAGTAACTGATTGGATATGGGGGGTGAGTGTGAGGAATCTAGGGTGGCTCCTCAATTGAGTATCTGGGTAACTGGGAAGATGGTGATGCCCTCAACAGTAAAAGGAAAGTTAGAAAGAAGAACAGATTTGGGAGAAAATGTAATGAGTTCAATTTTGGTCAGGTGTTTAAGATGTTTATGGGACCTTTGCAGTTCTGATTAAGTAGATCTGAGAATCATTTGCATAGAGATAATACTTAAATTCATGGGACCTGATGAGATCACCAAGTTAAATAGTATAGAAGAAGAGAAAAAGGCCCAGGACAAAGCCCTGGGGAATATACCCTATTAGAAGGCTCCCACTTGAATGAAGATCCAGCAAAGGAGACTGAGGACTGGTCAGATAGGGAGAAGAACCAGGAGAGTGGTGCCCTGAAAATCTAGGGAGAGGAGAGTATCAAGGAGAAGAGGGTGATGGACAGTGTCAAATGCTGTAGAGAGGTAAAGAAGGATGAAGACTGAGAATAGGCCATGGGGGGAGGGGCAGAGCCAAGATGGTGGAGTTGGACATTAGGAGATCAGACAGCTGGTCAGAATTTGCTGGCACTGATTGGCAACTCTGTTGCCTATAAGTGGTTCTGGGTTGTAATTCCAGGGTGATGAGCACTTGTGATAGGTCACAAGGTAGCAGGAGCCCTGATCACAGTTCCAGCACTAGTTCTTGGCGTCTACAGGGAAGCAGGGGCTCTTCCTGAGTAAAGACCAGAGTGCAGACCAGGAGAGCAATGACCATACCTCTCCTTGAATCACACCATCTTGGAAGCACCAAAAACTTGCAGACTCCCCAGAACTAGCTGTGAAAATAGTAGTACAAAAAAACCCTAAAGCTTGGCACAGTGCCTTCTCACCCTAACGTGAGCAGAGCCCATTTTTAATATAAAGTTGAAAGTGAAGAAATAGGCTTGGAAAATGAGCAAACAACAAGAAAAGAACCTGACCATAAAAAGCTACTAGGGTGGCAGGGAAGACCAATATAAACCAAGATATAAACTCTGAAAAAGACACTGTAAAAACAGTTACAAGCAAAGCTTCAAAGAAAAATGCTAATTGGACTTTACTGGAAGAGTTAAAGAGATAAGAGTGGTAGAGGAAAAATTGGGAAAAGAAATGAGAATAATGCAAGAAAAGTATGAAGAGAATCAACAGCTTGGTTAAAGAGGCACAAAAGCTACTGAAGAGAACGACACCTTAAGAAACAAAACTGGCCTAATAGTAAAAGAAACACAAAATTCACTGGAGAAAAGCAGAATTGTCTAAATGGAAAAAGAGGTACAAAAGCTCATTGAAGGAAATACTGCTTAAAAATTAGAATTGGGCAAGTGGAAACTTCAAGAAACAATAAAACAAAATCAAAAGCATGAAAAAAGTAGAAGAAAATGTGAAATGCCTCATTGGAAAAATGACCTGGAAAATAGATCAAAGAGAAAGATAATTTAAGAATTGTTGAACTATGTGAAAACCATGATAAAAAAAGAGCCTAAACATAGTATTTCAAGAAATTGTCAAAGTAAACTGCTCTAATTTCTTAGATCCAGAGGGTAAAATAAAAATTGAAAGAATCCAATGATCACTTCCTGAAAGAGATCCCAAAATGAAAACACCCCGGGGATATTATAACCAAATTCCAGAGCTCTCAGGTCAAGGAGAAAATGTTGCAAGCAGTTAGAAAGAAACAGTTCAAATGTTGTGGAGCCACAGTCAGGTTTTAGACAAAATTTAACAGTTTCCACATTAAAGGAGCAGAGGGCTTAGCATATGATATTCTGGAAGGCAAAGGACCTAGGATTACAAGCAAGAATAACCCAGCCAGCAAAACTGAATATAATCCTTAGGGGGGAATGGATATTTCATGAAATAGAGGACTTCCAAGGATTCCTGCTGAAAAGAAAATTTGACATTCAAACAGAAGATTCAAGAGAAGCATAAAAAGAAACATGAAAGAGTAATCATAAACTATGTTCCTGTATGGGAAGATGATACATGTAACTCTTAAGAACCTTATTATTAGGGCAGTTAGAAGGAGTCTACATAGACTGAGAACATGGTTATTAGTCCATTGGGTTGGGATGACCTCCAAAAAAAAATGTAGGAGTGAGAAAAAGGGTTGCCCTGGGAGAAGGGGGAAGGAAAAAGTAGAATGGGAAAATTTTCTCACATAAAAGAGGCTTGCAAGGGAGAGCTTTTATAGTGGAGGGGAAAATGGGGGGTGGCAAGCAGCGCTTGAACACCACTCATCAGCATTGGTTCAAAGAGGGAACAAGATGTATGCATACTCAGTTGGGTATAGAAATTTATCTTACCCAATAGGGAAATAAGGGGAGAAGGGGATAAGATGTGTGAGGGGGGGATGGTAAAAGGGAGAGCAGATTAAGGGAGGCAGTCAGGAGCAAAACAGACTTTTGAGGAGGGACAGGATAAAAAGATAGAGAAAGATAAACAGAAGAAGATAGAATGAAGGGAAATTGTAACTGTGAATGTGAATGGAATGAGCTAACCTATAAAATGGAAACAGATAACAGAATGGATTAGAAACCAAAATCCAAGGATGTGTTGTATACAAGAGACACACAAAGAGTTAAATAAAGGGCTGGAGCAGAATCTAATATGCTTCAGCTGAAGTAAAAAAAAGGCAGGGGTAACAATCATGATCTCAGACAAAGCAAAGCAATAATAGACCTAATTAAATGGGATGATCAGAGAAACTACAGTTTTATGATCGGTATCATGGACAATGAAGTAATATAAAAAACATTTACAGCAAGTTTTTTCTGATGAAGGTCTCATTTTTCAAATATATAAGGAACTGAGTAAAATTTATAAAAATAAGAGCCATCCCTCAATTGATAAATTGTCAAAGGATATGAGCAAGCGGTTTTCAGAAGAAGAAATCGAAGCTGTCTATAATATAAAAAAAATGCTCTAAATTACTATTAATTAGAGAAAGGCAAATTGAAACAACTTTGAGGTAGCACCTCACCCCTATCAGAAATGACAAATGCATACCCTTTGATTCAGCAATACCACTGCTAAGTTTGTGTCCCAAAAAGATCAAAGAAAAGGGAAAAGGACCTGTATGTACAAAAATATTTATAGCAGCTCTTTTTTGTGGTGGCAAAGGATAGAATATCAAGGACTGGTCCTCCAATTAGGGAATGGCTGAACATGTGGTGTGATTGTGATGGAGAAATGACAAGGGAATAGGGATGATTTCAGAAAAAACATGGCAAAACCAATATAAACTAATGCAAAGTGAAGTGAGCAGAACCAGGAGAAGTTGTGTGTAGTAACAGCAGTGTTGTAATGATGATCAACTGTGAAAGACTTAAGTACTCTGATCAATACAATGATCCAAGACAATTTGAAAGGATTCGTGATGAAAAAAAAAATGCCGTCTACCTCCAGAGGGAGTATGGTGAACTCTGAATGCAAATTGAAGTATAATTTCCTTTTTTTCTTTCTTTTTTTGCTTTGTTTTACAATATGGCTAATGTAGAAGTATGTTTTATGTGATTTCACATGTGTAATTGATGTATTGTTTGCCTTCTCAGTGGTTGGGGGATGGGTTGGAAGGAGGGAGAGAGTCTGCAACTCAAAATTTAAAAAGAAAATGCTAAGAAGAAATTATATATGTATTTATACATATATACATACATGCATATACATATATACATACATATACATACATATATATATATGAAAAGGCTATTAAACATTATTGGTAACTTTAGAGAGAGCATTTTCTATTGAATGATGAGGTTGGAAAACAGACTATAGAGTTAAGAGAGTGAGAGAAAAGGAAGTGGAGGCACCTGTTGTAGACAGCCTTCTCAAGGAGTGTAGCCACAAAGCAGAGGGAAGATATGGGACAATAGCTAGCCGGGACGGCTAGAGCAAGTGTGGGGTTTTTGAGGATGGAGGGAGACATGGGTGTATTTGTAGGCAATAAGGGAGTGTCTGTTAGACTGGGAGAGATGGATGATCAGTGAGAGAAGGGGGATGATAGGGCAGGCAGTCTACTGGAGAAGAAGGGGTGGAATAGAGTGGGATCCCTTGCACATATTTACCTTGGCCAGGAGTAAGGCCACCTTTTCATGTGAGACGGGAGTGAAGGAGGAGAGAGCAAAGAAGGAATCTGAGTGATAGGAGGTGAGGAAAAGGGGAGGAGAGGGAACTCATGGCCAGTGGTCTCAATTTCTCCTGTAAAATATGAGGCAGGTTTCTCAGCTGAGAGGGTGGGGGGAAGGGGGAGCCATAGGAAGTTTGAGGAGGGATGAGAAGGTTTGGAAGAGCTGCTGTGGAGAGTTGCTTAGAGAGGACTGGTAGGATTGCTGAGCAGCAGAGAGGGCTTAGTGAACAGTTTCGTGGTTTTTCTCCAGCTTTGTCCAGTAGCACAAGTGTAGGCTTAAAGGCAGAAGAAGGTGAGAGTGATCCAGGGCTGGGGTTTGGCAAGGCAAGATATTTGGCAGGATAGAGGGGCAGAGAATTAGAGATAAAGGCCCAGTGTAGTGTTAAACTGGTTTGACAAAGGGTCAAGATGGGGAAGGGAGGAGAGGTAGCTAGGCAGGGGAGGTGGCCTGGGAAAGAACTGTAAAGTCAGAGGGTTTGGAGGTGCGAGGCATAGGGAGAGGTGGAAAGACAACAGATTGTGATCAGATAGAGGATTTCAGAATTCACGAACATGGAGGTGGTACAGTTGTGGATAATGGCAAGATCCAGCGTATGACCATCTTTGTGTGTGGTGAGAGGGTCATTTGACATATGTAAATTGAGAAACTGGAAGGTTGGGATTTTTGAGGGAGTATTGCCATGTGTGAAGCCCTCTAGAATGAAGGCAGGAGTCGGGGAGGAAAGATTGTGCATGAGCCAGGACTCATTAAGGAAAGAAGGGGAGTATCCTGGGGGTCTGGAGGCAACAGACTCCGGGATTTTGATTGGCTGATCGACATGGGTTGGCTAACCTCAGTGATAGTGGTAGAGGGAGAGCCTGGAAGTGGCAGTGGGGACCAAGGGGACTCGTGAGTGGGAGTAGGGTTCAGAGTGAGAGAGTATAACCAGTGCAGGAAATGCCGGGGATAAAGTGTCATGAATGGAGTGAATGGAGCCTGGTCTTAGTGAGAGCCAGAATTCAGAGAAATGAAAGGGTCTAGGCTGGAAGCCTTGTTAGCCATGGATCCAGTGGTCCAAAGAGAACCATGCAGGGGGTGCCCACCGTAGCCACAGTGAGGACAGCATGGCCTGGCTGCAGCATTGGGGAGGCAGCTTGATTCAGTGGGCCTGGCCTGATCGCTAGGGATCCTTCTCCCAGCTCTCAGGACATCCTTTTACAATGGAAAGGGCAAGCTGTTCTTGCATACACCTGAGGTAGGGAGTAGCATTCCCCTTTTGGAGCAGAGGAAGCTGAGCTTCAGAGAGGTTAAGGGACTGGCCCAGGGTCACACAGCAAGTCACACTCCTTCAGAGACAGGATTCTAGCCTGGATCTTCAATGACTCCTGGATGGAACTTGAGAGCCCAGTGAACTCTATGCAAAGTTTTAGCTCTTATTTCCCATATTTGGAGTTTCTGGTGGCACCCATTGGTTTAAGAGGTTACAAGTGGTCAAAAGGAAGACTGGGTGTCTTTGGATTTCATTACAAACTGGCCTTGCTGATTGACTCCCTCTTTGTAATTTCAGGTTGGAAACATGGAGTTCCAAGCGGTGGTGATGGCTGTGGGTGGAGGATCCCGGATGACAGATTTGACTTCCAGTGTTCCCAAGCCCCTGCTCCCTGTTGGCAATAAACCTTTGATCTGGTACCCATTGAACCTGCTGGAGAGTGTCGGATTTGAAGGTAAGCTCACTGCCTGCCACGGAACGCCGTCATCTGGCCCTGCGTGCTTTGGGCCCTGTAATTTGTCAGGTTTATGAAGGGCTGGTGAGCAGGGAGTGAAGGGGAAGAGTGGAGCTTCACTGGCAGCTGAGTCACAGACAGGGAAGCCGGCCCCGGAGAGGAGGCTTAGGGGCAGAGCTCCCCAAAGGTGCCATGGTGACACCTGATAAAGGACCTTCAGGAAGGGGCTGTTGGAGGGCAGAAAATGCACTGTTTTCTCCTTTTCAGAGACCTGCCTTAAACTTCTCTTGGCAAAAGTGACTCCCCTCTCTGCACCCCCATGGGAAAAGTGTGGAAGGCTTGGACAGCAAATGGCAGGGGTCCAAAAGGCTTAGAAGTTAGAAGCAAAGGCAAAGTTTGAGGAATGGAGTTTCCAACTTATCGGTGAGGGGGTGAGGGGCAACTCAAAGGGAGGCTTGGCCTGAGGAGTGGGATTTCTCGGGTCACAAAATGAGTATGCAGAGGCAGCTGGGTAGTGCAATGGATAGAGCACTGGGCCTGGAGTCAGGACAGGCAGACCTCAGCTCACATCTGGCCTCAGGCACCTGTTGGCTCTGTGACCCTGGGCAAGTCACTTCACCTCTCTGCCTTGGTTTTCTCATCTGTAAAACGGGGATAATAACAGCCTGTACCCCGCAGGGTTGTCCTGAGGATCAGATGAGATAATAATTGTAAAGCCCTTAGCGCATAGTAAGGTTTCTTAAACATTAGCTGCTATTATCATTATGATTACTAGCTGTATGTGACCCTAGACAAGTCATCTCTGCCTGCCTCAGTTTATTCAGTTGTACAATGGTGATAATAATAGCACCTACCTTGAAGGGCTGTTGTGAAGATGAAATGATAAAAATATTTGTATAGCTCCTTGGTACCGTGGGTTCCTGGTGAGGATCTTGCTCTACCCATGGAGGTGGGCACCTTCTGCGCAATTTAGAATCTTAGAGAGCAGCTTGCGGCAGTGAGAGTGATGTCATTGGCCCAGGGTCACACTGCCAGAAGGTGTCAGAGGCAGGATTCGAACCCAGGGCTTCCTGGCTCTGAGGCCAACTCTACGTCCACAATTGCATGCTGGCATTCCCACTCCTTATAGTGGTGATAGGAGATGGTAGTCCCTCTGTGCTCTGCCCTGGTCAGTCCGAGCTCTCATGGATTGTCTGGAGAATGCCCCAGATTGATTGACCAGCATGGTGACCGGCTTTGGGATCGTGCCATATGAGGATGGGAGTTGTGTGGGAAAAAAGAGACTTATGAAAGATGTAGTAGTCGTCTTCAGGGATTTGAAGGGTTGTCATGTACAGAGGGATGTGACCTGTGGCCCCCCAGGACTCAGGGGAGCTACATAGACAGCTTCAGAGAAGGCCAGCTTCCCAATGCTCTGACCTGTCCCAAAGTGGAATGGCTGGATCAGACAGGGAGAGTGTGAGATGGAAATGTAAGTGAAGCACTTGCTGTTATTAAGAGGGCCCTGCCAGTGGCTGGAGGGAGGGAATGGGGTCAAGCTTCAAAGGATAGAGGAGGGAGCAGTGGGTGATGATGCAGAGGCTGAACAAGGCAGGGAGGGTGGGGTGGCTGTGGCTGGCTTCTCAGGGAAACAGGAAGCTGGGAGGTCAGTGGCTAGGGCAGTTACCGTAGGGCGTGGAAGGAGTAGGTGAGAGGAGCCGAGCAGAATCTTCCCGAATAGCCGTGCTTTCTTCATGTAGGTTGAACCTCGAAGCTGTCATTTGTAGCTTCTCATTGAAGAGAACTGTGACTCAGCTGGCAATATACCCTTTTAAAACACGTTAACTTTATTAAGAAAAATTGATTTTTCTCTTCCTCCCATCCCACCCTTCAATACTGGGGGGAGAATCCCAGCAAGTAAGCATAAGCAAACAAAACAGATCCTCACATTGACCACGTGCGAACGTATGTGTTGCGTGCTGCCCTGAGTTCATCCCTTCTCTGTCAGGAGGTGAGAAGCATGCCAGTGCCCCCTCTGATGGCCATCTCTGGGGGAGGGATGAGAAAATGGCCTTTTGGAGGCACAACCACTCTGCACCTCTGAATAGAGTTCTGACAGATCGCCCCCTGCGTCTCATGGAGATCTATGGCTCTGAGGCCCCTTTCTCTGCTTCTTGGCTTGTGGAAACACTCATGTTGATCGACGTTTGAATTGAGCACTTCGTAAAATGTCCTGCTTGTTTTGTAGGCTGAGAAGTTGGGGTGTCTGTCAAAGTGAGATCCTTACCCTCCACTTGCTCGTGCTTGCAGCATGGCTAAAATCTGGGAGAAATGGCTGATCTGTTGTATAAGAAAGTGGCTGCAGTTTTCTTTTTCCTTTTTTGCTACAGAAGTAATTGTGGTGACGTCCAAAGACGTGCAGAAGTGTTTGCCCTACACAGATTTCAAGATGAAGCTCGATGTGGTGTGCATCACGGACGAGACCGACATGGGCACAGCCGACTCTCTGCGCCACATTTCTCAGAAAATTAAGGTAGGTCTTTGTTCTTGGACATTCATTCTCACTCGACCTTACAGGGACTTTTTAAGAATTTGTTCCTGCTGGGGACAGCTAGGTGGTGCAGTGGATAGAGCACCGGCCCTGGATTCAGGAGGACCTGAGTTCAAATCCAGCCTCAGACACATAACACTTACTAGCTGTGTGACCCTGGGCAAGTCACTTGACCCCACTGCCTAGCCAAAAACAGCAACAACAACAACAAAAACCAAGAAGAAGTTGTTCCTGCCTGGTGAGTCTCAGTCCTGCTGCTGCTCACTTTTTTTTTTTTGGTGGTGGTGGCTAAAATTTTCATGGACAAGAAAGCCGAGAAGGCCGCCGAGTCGATCTTAGCTTGTGCAGGAAGTGACTGTTAGAGAGTAGTTTGGCGTTGTTTTATGTGGAGGGGAGGAAGGGGCCGGGGAAAAGCTGACTGTGGTTTTGGTTATTTCATAAGTTGGTCATTGGATTTTGGTCAGTCAGTAGAGTAGAATTCTGAAGAAATTGCGAGCGGTATCCAGTAGATTTGTGGCTTCCCATCCGTCCTCTTTTTCTGTTCCCTCTCACTGAGTCTTCCCCTTCTGAGGCAACCTCTGGTTAATCTGAGTCTGCCTCTGTACCGTTCCCCTCTTTTGTTTCAAGTTCAGTCTCAGACATAGGTGCTAGGACTTCCTGTTTGCCAGGTTAGCTAGAGGGATGAGTCTGTGTTGTAAAGGAACATCCCCACTCATCTTTCTGGAGTGTTTCCACAACTTCTGACTGAAAATCAGGGGTGGCCATGGACACTGTCTGCTTGAGGACAGACAGTGGACACAACTTGCTCAGTCTAGCCCGTGTAAATGCTGATGGTCCTCAGACCATCTCCCAGACAAACTTCAAGTCTAGGGGTACTCCCCAGGAGCTGAGAGGGACTCTGATGGGGTTGTCTGGAATCCCCACCAGTGTGCTCCCCTTCAAGACGATCAGTTGAAAATCAGTTAAGTCAGCCAGCCTTAAGTGGCTTGTAGAAAAGGTATTTGCTAAGGTGATGCAGTACAAAGTTGGCACGAAGCATCCCCCCAGAAGACTGTGCTCCACTCGTCTGCAAGTGCATGCTTAGTCCAGGGGAAAGTGGGCTCAAGCTTAGAGACCATGTGTGGCAAAGGGGCAGCGCACGGTTCATGGCTGCTGGGAAGTTCTCTTCTCCTATTTGTGGGTGCTCCTTTAAGCAGTGGGAGTCAAGACCCAGTCTGTTGGCTCCTGATGCAGAATCTAATTAGCTGCTGCTGCCACACCAGGAGAGGTGATGCTGGGATGCTGAGGAGAGAATGGGCATTCCAACATCCTTTGGACTTTTTAAAGCTTGCAGGGTCCTCTTAGTCTAGCCTGTGTGTGTGTGTATTAGAATTCACATTCTCTCTCTCCTTCCCTCTCTTCACCCCCGCCTTACTCCCTCTCTTTCCCTCTCTTCCTCTCTCCACTCCCCCTTCACGTTGTCTGTGTTTCTTTTTCTCTCCTTCCCTCCCTATCCTTTCCTCCCTCTTTTTCTCTCCCCAATCTCTCCCTCTGTCTCCCTCTCCCTCTCCCTCCTTTTCCTTCCCATTGTCCTCCCTCTCCCTCTCACTGATTAGAACTCAACAATTCTATCTCTTTTGATAAGATCTATTTTTGCTTTTGTTTTGGCTGAGATCAGGATTGCTACCCCTGCTTTTTTTACTTCAGCTGAAGCATAATATATTCTGTTCCAGCCTTTTACCTTTATCCTGTGTGTGTCCCTCTGTTTCAAATGTGTTTCCTGTAAACAACATATCGTAGGATTATGGTTGTTAATCCGTTCTGCTATCCATTTTATGGGAGAATTCATCCCATTCACATTCATTCACAGTTATGATTACTATCTGTGTCTTTCTTTCCGTCCTTTATCCCCCCCCCCAGTTTATGCTTTTCTTTCTCCTTTCCCCTCCTCACTAGTATTTTGCTTTTGACCACTTCCTCCCTCAGTCCCGCCTCCCTTCTATTAGCCCTCTCCCTTTTCTTCCCCTTTACCCTTACTACTTCTTCCCTCCCTTCTATCTCCCCTCCCTTTTCTTTCCCCTTTTCCCTCCTACTGCTTATAGGGAAAGTTAGATTTCTATACCTAACTGATTACGTTATTCTCTTCTTTGAGCCCAGTCTGATGAGAGTAAGGTTCAAACGATGCTCATCTCCCTCCCTTCTTTCCCTTTGCTGTAATAGGTTTTTGTGCCTTTTCCTGTAATGTCATTTACCCTTGTCTGCCTCCTTTCCTTTTCTCTCAGTACAGTATCACTTACTTGGATCCATTTAACTCACTTGATTAGATTTTTTTTTATTATTCAGTTTATACCCACCCCCTTTATGTATACCCCTTTAACATGGTGTAATAACAATACAGTTCTCAAGGGTTACAAGTGTCATCTTCCCTTGTAGGGATGTAAACAGTTTGCCATTATTAATTACATGTTGTTTCTTTCTGTCCCTTCTACCTTTTTATGTTTCTCTTTGAGTCTTGTATTTGAAGATCAAATTTTCTGTTGAGCTCTGGTCTTTTTATCAGAAAAGGTTTGGAAGTCCCTTATTTCATTGAATATCCATCTCCTCCCCTGAAAGATCATGCTCGTTTTCACTGGGTAGTTGATTCTTGGTTGTAATCCAAGCTCTTTTGCATTATGGAATATCATGTTCCATGCCCTGCGGTCTTTTAATGTAGAAGCTGCAAGGTCCTTTGTAATTCTGACTGGGGTTCCATGATATTTAAATTGTTTCTTTCTGGCTGCTTGCAATATTTTCTCTTTGACCTGTTAACTTTGGAATTTGGCTGCTATATTCCTTGGCATTTTCAATTTGGGATCTCTTTCAGGAGGTGATCAGTGGATTCTTTCTATGGCTATTTTACCCTCTGGTTCTAGGATCTCAGGGCAGTTTTCCTTTATGATTTCCTGAAAGATACTGTCCAGGCTCTTTTTTTCATCGTGATTTTCAGATAGACCAGTAATTTTTAAATTGTCTCTCCTGGATCGATTTTCCAGGTCAGTTGTTTTGCTGATGAGGTATTTTACGTTTTCATCTATTTTTTCATTCTTTTGTTTCTATTTGACTGATTCTTGCTCTCTCATAGAGTCGTTAGCTTCCATTTGCCCAATTCTAATTTTTAATAAATTGTTTTCTTCTATTAGATTTTGTACCTCCTTCCCCACTTGGGCCAATTGTATTTTTTAGGGACTTGTTTTTTTCAGTGTACTTTTTTTCCAGTTGGCCAATTGTATTTTTTAAGGACTTGTTTTCTATAGTTAATTTTTGACCTTCTTTCTCCAAGCTATTGATTTTCTCTGGCATACCTCTCATTTCTTTTCCCATTTTTTCTTCTGCCTCTCTCATTTGACTTTTAAAATGCTTTTTGAGCTCTTCTAAGAAGGTTTTGTGGGCTTCAGAAGAGTTCATATTCCCTTTTGAGGTTCCAGATGTGGGTTTGTTGACAATGTTGTCCTTCAGAATTTCTGCCTTGATCTTCACTGTTCTTGTAATATGAATTTATCATACTTTTCTTTTTGCTTATGATGTTTGCTTATTTCCTGGCCTTTAAAGAGATTGAGCTCTCCTGCTGGGGAGCAGAGGGCACTGACTCAAGCTTCTTGTGTTTGGAGCCTAGGGCCTGGTTACTGGCTTTGTGTGCTGGGGCCTTCGATGTTGGCGGTTGGAGGCTGTAGGGTTCTGGCAGATTACCTGGTATTGGGCTGGAACTCTAGGGGTAGGACTGGGTAGTGTGGCCACTGGAGATTTCCTGCTTGCCCAGGCCTTTCCTTCCTTTTGCTTTCTTCAGCTCCTTTCACATAGATGTTGCAAGGTGTTTATCTACCTGGGGGCTCTTGGAGTACTGCTTCCCTTAGTTTTGCTGAGGCACTGTGAGACCCAGTTGCTGTAGAATGCCAAGGCACCTGGTGGTTTTCCAAGCTGGTTTCCACCAGTTCTGCCTCCCTCACTGAGGCACTTAGGGGTCCTGATGTTGGTGTTTGCCTGCTCTACCACCTGGGTTTCAGGATCTCCTGGTATGCTGAGGTGGGGTTTGCTGGGATGCTTCACATTCTGTACTGCTCCCCTTCCTCCAGGGCAAGAGGTGCCTTTCCCTTTAATCCCTCAAGCTACCTGGGCTACTGGACTGCTGCACCCTGTCTTTCTTCTAGTTTAGCTGTCCCAGGGTTTTTCCTGAGGTGATATTTTCTTGGCTTTCGGGGATTAATAAGGGAAGGTAAGAGCGACTTACTTCTTACTCCACCATCTTGGCTCCTGGAAGCCTAGAACTCAATAATTCTAGCTAACTTGAAACTGTTCTCTCCAGAGCTATCAGTGAAGGGGGCAGCTAGGTGGTACAGTGGATGAAGCTCCAGCCTTGGAGTCAGGAGGACCTGAGTTCAAATCTTACCTCAGACACATGACACTTACTAGTTGTGTGACCCTGGGCAAGTCACTTAACCCCGGATTGCCTCACCAAAAGGGCAAAAAACCCCCAAAAACAAAAACAAGCAAAACCACCGAAGTTATCAGTGCTCTTCATGGCCAAATGGAATGGCCTTTCCTCAGTCCTCACCCTTGGCCACTCTGAAGCATTTGAGTTTTGATCACCCTTTTTGTAGACACTCTCTTTTCTCTTGGTTTTTGTGACACTTTGTGGCCCTGCTCTCTCCTGGCTCTCCTCCTGCTGTTAGGGTCATTCTTTCTCAGTCTGCTTTGGTGGCTCTCCATCTGGGCCATGCCCACTAACCTTGCATATCCCCCGAGCTCTGTGCTGGGCCCTGTTCCCTTCTCTCTCTATACCCTTTTCCAGCCTTGTTGACCTGTGGACCCCCTTCTCTGAGTAATGTTTTTAAATGCACAAAATAAAATATACAGGATTACAAATGAATCCAATTATATGGAAATACAATTATCAAGATCTTTTTAAAAACAAGCTCAGGGACCCCAAACTGAAAATGCTTGCTCTACAGCAGAGGTGTCAAATTCGT